TTCCTGCTTCTATTTCTTTAGGATAAGCCAGAAGTTGACATTAGGGCAAATGTCCTTTCTAAGAGCCATTAAAAGAATTCTCTCCTTGCTAGCTTTCTGTCCTGCTTAGTGTAAACCAGTCTTTTATTTGTCTTTCAGACTTTTCTCTCTCTCTTGCTTTAAGATAATGATGGTCTTCCTGTTGTCTTCTGCACCCTTTTCTGTACCCTGAACACTGCCCTTTTAATCTTCTTGTAAATACTGTTTTCCTATTTCAGAGTATTTCCAATCTCAGCTCCTGTCATTTTCTCCCAACTTGGACTATCATAACCCTGACATCCCTGAATGGAGACAGGACATTGGCAAAGTCATCAAGAGAGCACTGGCACAGGTGAGCATCTGTTTCCTTTTCTACATTAACATTGACTAGGCTGTTAAAACATGCACTTTTTTTGACATGCTAGTTTAAAAGAATGGGAAAAGACAGAAGTAATGAAGCTATCATTAAAAATCAATAAAAAGCTTCTTAATATGCTGAATCTTTTTACAGAGGCAAACTATGTTGCTAATTTTGTGGAAATATTACAATTGCTTTTACTAATATTTCTGTGGTGCTTTTTAGCTTTTAATATCCCTGAGGATTTTGCAAATCTAGATTGTAATATTATCATTATTATTCTTCTTTTGCCAAATTGATATGACACTATCTACTATTTTTTACTCCAAACATTTGGTTAGTGGTACTGTGTTGTTAAACAGCTGATCCCCTGAAGACAGACATTGTAGTATGCTGGATGCATGAGGAAGATATTTTTATCTCTCAGTCAGGAGTTCCACATGCAGCTAAGTGTAGCAACTGTTGAACATTATAAAGTTCTACTCCCTTTCCAACTGGGGCATAAAATGAAGATTCAGAAGGGAAATAAACTTACCTTTAAAATACAGGATAAAAAGAGACTTTTGTGGGTGGAAGATACTGAATCTTCCTTTGGGATTAATTAGAGTATGTAAACTAGTACTCATATTCTTGCAGGAAAGGAGACAGAATAATTTATGATATCAAATAGTCAGGGACTTTGGTTTTGTGTGAAATCAGGAGATAGATTTAAACAAGCTTTTGTGTTTTTGCATTTTGCCAAAAATGTATCTTGCTGCTTTTTTTTTACTTCAGCTACAGCTGTTCTTAGAAATGGAGGCTGATTATTTTTACTGGGGAAGTACATCCCTGCTCAGCTTTTTTCATCTGCAGCCCACTCAAAATTCACAGTTTATAAGAGTTTCCTTGATTGTTTTTCCATCCTGAGAAAACTCTAAGTTCATTTTTTTTAAACTATTGGTCCCTTTTAATGTATTCAGAGTCAAGCTTGCAGAAAAAATAAATTCATGAAGTTGTAACTATGAGTGGTTACAGACAACATAGAAACCTTGTAGAAGTTCTTGCTTGTATAGCCCACCAGGAATGGGCTGTGCTGTTGATGCATTTCAGCTTGGGAATGAGGCCATGGATCTTACGTGGGGTAGGATCAGGGTGTTAATGGAGTTAGGCTCATGTAGTGGACCATTTCTGGTGGAAGGGAGGCTTCCTGCCCTATTGAGAATGCTCAGCTGGGAGAGAGGGGAGGTGGGCAGGTCATGCTGAGGGCAGTTGTGAGAGTCAGGTGTGGAACTGACTCTTGGTTCAGTAAACTGAGTGGTTCCTAGCACAGCCCTCCTGATCAGCCCCAGTAGTAAAAAGTCTCCCACTGGTGACATTGTTACTGATGTGTGACAAATGTGGATCCCTATAACCTTACAATACAAAGTGACTGCAGGCAATTTTCTTCATATGTCTTTGTTAGTTGAATCCTTATTAGCTCAGAGCCACTCTCTGGATCTGACTTTGGGTCATTCTTTTGTTGCAAGAAGGACTATATGGAAAATTCAGATGTGGAGATGTGCTAGGTTTGGACTTGGGTTGAGATCTTTGGGTCTGGGGTGTTGTCAAATCTACATTTACTTTTAGAAAGGAAGTATGGTGTATCTTTAGCAGAACTTCAATTTCTGACCCACTAAATGGGCAGAACAGCTCATTAGGACCACAACACCTACAATGGAACTGGCAAATAATGATTTGATGGGAGCACCATTTCTCATAGTGAATGGAAACATGAGTACAAAATACCAGCTAGAGACCTTCTTTTTACTTTTCTTTTAGGTGACTGGTATCCCTGATGAACAGATCTTGGTAGCTGTGTTTCCTGGGCTGCCTACTTCTGCTGAACTCTTCATACTGCCCCATAAAAACACAACAGAGAGGAGGAAAAGCAGTGAGGCTGATCTGGAGCAAGTAAGGAAAGAAGGATTCATGGAACACTTATTCCTGTCATGTCATCTGCAGATGGATCCCTTAAGTTGTGCAACATCGGAAATACTTACAATAAGTGTGGTGTAAACGGATGAGCCTGGGACTGTGGCAGTATAGTTTATGGCATTAAAGAAAATGATTTTCAGAGGAAACCCAGGATTTTCTAATACCTCACTGAGATATGTCACAGTCTAACACCAGCGGAGATTCTTCCTAAATCAGTGGTGTGTCCTTATTACAGTAGTTATGTCCAAAGGAACCTTGAATATGTACTCCCTCTACTCCCTGGAGGAATGCTAATAGACAGAGGCCAAAGCAGCAAGATAATATACTGAGGTTTACTAAAAATAAATCAGGCTCTTCAGCTCGTATATCACTGCAACAAGACCTCTTTTTTTTTTTTTTTTTTTCTGCAGCAGTGAATGGCCTGTGCAAACTATATTTGGAAGTTACAATATCCATCCATTTAGATAAATAGGTAATTACAGTGATGAATAGGAACAGTGATATGTAGGCAAGGAAAGAGCTAGGAACAACAGCACTAGTCTGCTGAAGCTTTTGCATTAGAATTACCAAGTGATTAAATCAGGTCTATAAAGGCAAAGGAGTGAAGTACTGCTGGAAAGCCTGCTTAGCTCCAGCTAGTCTTCTTGCACACAGCATTTTTACTGTCTGAAAGTTATGTGTGAGCCCATTGCCAAGTAACTCTTGGAAGAGTAACTTCTCTGTGATCAAACATTAAATAATTCAGAGGACTGCTGGATTCAGTGGAAGTTCTTGTCACCCACTGAGTAAAAAGTCAGATTCTGCAGTGTAGTACCTTTGTCCTAGAAAGTGAGCACAGTTGGCCTCTTAAATTTATGGTGGTCAGTGTGCAGAAGATACGCATTGAGGTGGGAAGGTTTGAAAGGCTTTTTGGAGGGGTATTCTTGGAGTCAATTCTATCCTCTCCAGTAGGATCTACCAGTATTAGAACTCCTTCCGAACAAGGCTGTTGTGTCAATATTCCATCAATCAATATTATACTGACCTCTCAATTAGGTTTCTGACTAGCTGAGCATGAGGCCTGAAGCTCTAGTGCTTTGATTGTATTTGATAATCTGTTCAGTTGAACTTTGACACCTGTCTTTGGCTTCTGCTTGAGGAGCTCTGCCCTGGAGAGTAGATCATCAGAAGTACTCAATAGCTCTGCCATGTCCACCAGAACTACTCTGTGGGGATCAGGCATTAACAAACTCCAGCTCCACTGTGGTGTGCCAGTATGTGCTCTGAGGAAACCAAACAGTGCATCATAGCCGGGTTGCTGATCTCCCAGCTCAGCAACTCCAGTAAACCCGGGTCCAAGGCTCCTCTTCTAAGTGAAGGAGAAATATGGCAAATTTTCTATGAATCTTAAAATCTGGATTGTCTCATTCCAAATTGTCTATTTAAAGAGAAACTACATGACTCAGATCAATGTGAATGAAGAAGTGCAAGTCTGAACCACCTTAGTTCCATTATCCACCAATGGAAGGCAAATATGTCAGTGATTTCTAAGTGCATTTGATCAGACTTGCAAGGTATTGTGGACAGTGAAAAGATCCTTTGTTATTTTCCCTCCTCCTGTAGCCCCCCCCCCCAAAAAAGAAAAAAACTTGCTAATTTTCTTGGTTTGCTTCCTAGGAGAGATCTAATAACATACTGTGTAAGTCTCAAAAGTCCTACAGGGAGACTTGCATGCAATAGCACCCAGTTTCTTCTAAAGCACACATATATTTCTCTCCACTTCCTCAGTCCTTCCTGAAGCCAGTAAGAGATGTTAGGCACCATTCATAGGCTGTGTGTATTCCTGAACGTTCTCCATACCTTGCTATCTTCTATATTGTAACTATTGTATCTCTTCTTATTTCATCAGGTGGTAGAAATCCTTTTTAATGCTCTCAATCAGAACCTGGTCCAGTTTGAACTGAAGCCTGGTGTTGAAGTCGTTGTCTATGTTACTCAGTTAACATTAGGTGAGTGTGGAGTCAAACCCATGGCTGTGGTTCTCTTGAAGCTTCAGACAACTCCAGGAGAACCAGTCTACATCAGAGCACTCACAGTTTGCTTTGTGCTACTGGGATACACAGGACATATTGTGACATTGTGGTAGAAGCAAGTGTTTTAAAAAAAAATCCATCAGGGACATCTTCATGCTCCAGTTTGTGCAAGTATAAAAAGTATGTTCTAAGAGTTCCCTATGGCTTAATTAACTAGTTCACTGGTGTTTTTCAAGTGTTTTAGAAAATCAGGTGAATGGTGCCTATTAAGCCCTCATTGGGCACATGGATTCCAGTGTGGGTATTACTAACTTTCATGGATATTGGATCAGATCCTTGTTGCTGTTATGACTAGCTAAGAAGCTTTAAAGGGGCAAAGTACTCATAAAAAGAATATCTAGGCCTCCTAAAGGGAATATGTGCCTGAATATTGACTTCTACAAATTAGAACTATTTAAATTTCAACACTACATATCTCCATTTTTGCACAGAGTAATGAAGAGTCACTTAAAGCTTCATCGCCCCATTTGCTTTAAATCACCCTAGTGTGAAGCTGTCAGCTACTGCTGAGAATTTCAGCTAGCCTAGGGTGAAGCTATCAGCTGTTGATGAGACAGTGATGGCTACAAAGGAGGTGATGAATTTATTTTTGCCCTTGCTTTTTATGACTGGCCTTGCAATTTTCTGACATGTTGGATCTTGTGCAAGTGCCATTGCTGATAGCCTCTCTGAAGGATTGGGATTCACATCCCATGACAATATGCTTCAGCTTCTTTTTAGATGAGACTCTCAGACAAGAACTGGGCTAAACCAAGGCTCATGGCCTTTCCTAGGAGTAATACCCTTTTACCCTCGTTCTCTAACTGCTGTTTGGAGATAAGAGTCAGATGTTAATAGGCATAGGTTGGAATTAATTAATTTACAAAACTAGGAATGGGATACAAATATTTGCAGTGTCCAGTTTCAGAATGTCGCTTTGTTCTAGCAGGATACTCTATTTAACATACACTGTGCAATTATTTTGTACTCCCTCCAGTGTGGGTGCTGCACTTCTTTCAGGACCATTGCCATAGTATTTTGACTCGGATGAAATGACAGTCTTGTCCACAAGAGTCCGAAGTAATAGTAGCAGAGTACTGGTAGAATCAGACTGTTATGTGTGAAAATTTGGCAATGAAATCAGAAGTGACTGTTTACATGGCTTTGTCCCCATCTTCAGGGTGACAGGAAAAGAATAGAGAACAGTAAAACACCGAAACCAAATATTTATGCAGAATGAGAAACACTCAACTGCTACTTATAATCATTTGCACATCATTAGAGGCTTCTCATCAGACACTTGATTCCTAGCACAGTACTCAGGCCATTAAGATGGTGTGTGGGAATAGCTGCATAAACAAGGTCTAGGAATATACTGCATTTAGCTCATCCAAAATGTCAAGGACAGCTGGATCAAATCTCCAAAATGTTACAATGTAGTGGGTGCTTGGGTCCAGGATTATTGCTTTGTGCTCCTCCATGTTATGAAAAGTGACTCAATTTAACAATTTCTAAGGTCCTATTACAGGGATGAACCTTGAGACTTCTCACAAGACTAGATCCCTGTCGCATGTGAGACAAACATATGTCCTTGGAAGATGGGAGTCATGCTGTTCATTGGTGCTCTGGGGTAGCTTCTCCAAAGGGGAATAGGCATGCATTAAGCCATGCTTCATAAAATTCATTTCCACTCCAGTCCTTGGAAAAGCCTGAAAATAATAGCCCAGTGTGTTAACACAGGAGTGATCAGGCATTCAGCTAAGCATGGCTTGCTGTGCCTTTTCACTCAGAGATGTTAGACTGCACTGTCTTGAAAAAGAGGCTTAACTTTTGAAGGACAAGAGAGTCAATTTGTTTCCTACTGATTGGTCTTGCTGAAAACAGCATGCACCATGCAGTGGTGATAAAGTAGATGTGACAAAGACAGAGCTGAGCTCAACTGTCTGGTAGTTAACGTGTTCACTTGTAATGTCCTGCAAATGTAATACTCTGCCTTTCCCCCTGCAGCACCCCTTGTTGATTCCAGCTCGAGTCACAGCAGTTCAGCAATGCTGATGTTGTTGTCTGTGGTCTTTGTAGGCTTGGCTGTTTTTTTAATCTACAAATTCAAGAGGTAAGTTGAAAAACTTTGGGATGGGAGGAGGAGACACTGGGTGGTTTACAGGAAATCTAGGCAGAGCTGTGCCTGAATTGCAAATGTAAACCAAGTTATGCTGGCTGAAGGCTTAGAACAGTATAGTTGCCTTTTCTGATACTTAGAGAGAAAACTATCTTCGGCCCTTTCACCACAAATTCAGTGCTCCAAAAGCTCAGCAGGAGCTCAGAAATCAAGCTGTAGCCTGCTTCAGCAGATGTGTTCAAACCACAGACCAGAAATGAGAACCCTCTGTGCTCAGTGAGTACTGAGATACAACGGGGACATAGTAAAAAAAACCACATAGTGGATGACTTCACACAGTGTATATCCACCTGGCCAGCTGCCTTAGTGCAGCAGCATCTCATTTGTGTCTTGCAAAGTGAATAGGTTAGTCTTGCAAAGAAACAGTTGTGATTATGTTAAAGGTGGGAGACTCAAAGCCAGAAAATATTGTGTAAAGCATGAAAATGCCTTTGGGAATCTGTGCTGAGATTTACTTTGACAGATGTTAATATAAACCTTTTGCTTCCAGACAGCAGGCAGGACCAGGTTGGCCTGTGGCATTTGGCTGCTGCAAGCTGTGAAACAAAATATGTGATAAGAATGGCCTGTTTGCTGAAGGGTTGCTTTATGAGAATATATTTTAGGCAGATGGAGCTCCTTAGGAGGAACCTTGCATTCAGGACAGTACTTACTGTATAAAATGGTCTGTGTGCCAAGTGGCAAAATATTGTATTAGAAGCATACTCTGTGTCTGACTTAAAATAAAGAACAACAAATCAAACTTCCTGGACATAGTAGTTCCTCCAGATGGAGAAGCTAGAGCTCTTCCTGTCCAGAGTCCAGCTATATGTTTCTCTCTCCAGATTTTCTGCAGCCCAGGATAAGGCTAGTGCTCTCTAATGATGTTTGTGTGATACAAACAGTATTAAAAATAAAATGGTAGGACAAGCATGTATTCTAGTCTCAGGTTTAATGTTTCCCTCATTTCTAACCTCTTGCATTAACCATTGTCAAAATCAGTGAGTGGCACAGCTTCTAGTGCTTGATCCTGTGCACATTGAAACCTGTTACCAAGCTCCCATTGACTTCAGTGGCCCAGGACTATTTCCAGAGAATGCATTTGTGTGCATCTGTCCCAAAGAGGACAAATCCAGATTCAACTGACAAAGTTTAGGGTTAAGTAAGATACACAGAGTGTCCTCAACTTGATTTTTCAGAACGGAAAGCAACTTTTCAGCTCTGTCTAAAACCTCTGGCTCACTGGACCAGAAGTGAGAGCATACAATAATTGTTAATAGAAAAAAGGGGGCAAAACCAAAAGCTTTCCTCTACCTCTCAGCAATGCACATGTCCATTAGCAATGTGTACTTTTTTGATTGATGGTAATCCCAGTGTAGCTACAGAAGTACTGCTTACAGGGGAAGGTTGTGGGGAGACCATAGGCCTGCATGAATTCTACAACTTCATAGATTTGGTGCTTTGCTGGTTTGCACACAGACTTCTTATTATGAGTCCATCAATTTATAGACCCAGCAGGCATGTTAAACACTGCTGCCAGAGAGATGCTTGTTGAGGAGGTCGAGGTGGAAAAGGAAGGAAGAGGGAAAAGTATGGAATTAAACTGTAGAAACGTTGTTTCTTTGCTGGGAGACTGAGCATCTAGCAGGTCAATACTATGTGCGTACGAGTGGTGAGCAGCGTTGAGGCAATGGGGCAGTCAGTGTGTGTGTCCTGGGACAGGAGTGCAGGAGTGTGTATGCCTGTGTATGTGCTCAGAGTCTTGCAGTGGGATGTTGTGGCCGCCTGTGTCTGTGCTGGGAGGCACAGTAGGAATAGATATATGTGTATAGATGCACATATGTACAGCCATCTCAGCTTCTGTTTTTTTCTCTAACTGTCTGAAGTATCTGGAGGCTCTCTGCCTCACAGTTCTAAAGAGCTTTTCTCACCTTTCCACTCAAAGCTCAGAAGATGATCACTTCTCTGCCATTGCATTGGCTGGAAGCAAAACTAAGTCTTCCAGTATCTCCAGGTGTGTTCTCTCCATGTCCACATCTTGACACATCTCCCGATGTTTTCTGGGCACATAAATCCTATGGGAATGGGTTTGTTCTCTTTCGTTCCCTGTGTAGTGCTTATGCCTTCTAGTGGTATATAAGGCATTAGAAAGGGAGAAGATCATGAGATTTGGTAACTGCTGCTAAACCTCCCAGATACGTCCTGGCTTTCTGCTGGTAAACAGCAGAATGCCAAATCAAGCCAATAGCCCCACCTGTTTCAGGCCAGAACTTCACTGAAGTAAAATCGGCATAGATCTATTGAATTCAAGAGTGTTGAGACAACTTCTGCTGCTTTCAGTCTCTGACATGTCCAACATCAGACAGATCAGCATAAAGATATAGCATTTTATGTAACTTCTTTTGAACACATCTTTCTCTCTCCTGTGTGCTTTAAGAAACTGAAAGTATTCTCCAAATTTTTCTTGTTTGAGCAGTGTGGACTGCATGGCACAGAGTCCTTCTAAGGTTGTTAGAAGAAACAGTCACCTTCCAACAGACAACTACACACAGTTCCAACCTAGCAACCCCCACAATGCTTAACACATTCCTTTTCACTTCTCTCATTTTAAACTTGCTTTCCTCTGGGGATTGCTATGTAACTATCTCTCTAGGCCTATATAACTATCTGTCTAACTAGCTGACTTCCAAGGATACCATTCTAGCAGTTCAGGTTAACTTCACTTGGAAGAAGAAAGGAGAAATAATCCCTTCTGTTTCTTGGCTTCCTGAGCTACAAGGGAAAACAAGTCCTTGCAAACTTGAATTATCCATAGCACAACAAACTGGTTTTTGCAATGAACTGGTAACAAATCAACTTTGGATGAGTGTTATGAGGTCCATATCCTTTCTGTACTCTGGGGCAGGACCAATTCTTTATAACTCTTTCTGATGTGGCAATTCCTACTGAATCAGTGTGGGCCTGTCAATGGCAACAAGACTGGCAATTTTTTTTTCAGTTGATAGTAGTACTCAAATTGATTTTTACTTTTGGTTTCCAGTGCACCTCTCATCATATAATAAATATTGAGAGAGCTGGCTGCTGCAGCTGATTTTACTTAGCTGATTGCTGCTCTCTGAGCTGAGTGCAGTGCCCACTTGTGTGCATGACTTCTCATTTAAAAGAGCAAGACCAGAACATTTAGGTTTATGGCTGCAGGAGCCTTTGTGCATGGGATATGGAAGTGGTGGCCTGAGATCTGGGGTAGCTTTGGGCTGGTATTGGAATTACTGGATGCTAATGGCAGTTTCAGAGCTGAGCATCACTGTGATGCTTTCACCATTCTGAGAGCTCATACTTTACATCACTGCCAGTGCTGCATTTCTGGGATTGATCTGTTTAGTTTGTCTGATTAATCAATGAAATGCTGAGGATCCCTGTGTTACAAAATAAAACCTCTTGTTTTCCATTCCTGTGCAGGAAAATCCCTTGGATTAACATCTATGCCCAAGTTCAGCATGATAAGGAGCAGGAAATGATTGGCTCTGTCAGCCAAAGTGAAAATGCCCCCAAAATCACTCTGAGTGAGTTCACAGACCCTGAGGAGCTGATGGACAAAGAGCTGGACACGCGGGTGATGGGTGAGAGACAAACCTCGGCTCGGTTTTGTTTCACAGTCTAGGGGAGGATGTTGGTCATTGGGGTCTTAGGAGAGGCAGTGACTGTAACCAGAAATAGAGCCTGAAGCACTGAGATAGGGAGTGAATCTCTGCAACATGATTAACAGGGAGTTTTTTCTTACAGCTTTTAAGCTTTTCCAACAGTGTTTAATAGCCAGGGTAGGAACCTGGAGTCAACAATAGGTATTCAGGGGTTAATAACAGGTGTGGCTCACAACTATGCCTCTCCTGTGGAGGAGTACCAAATTCCCTGAACCCTCAGAAGAATCAGCTGAGCCAAACTTACACTGTTGGTGTGCTATGATTACAAGAAAATGTGTCCCTAATAGCTTAATGAGTTTTCTGCTGGTCAAGTGAACTGTAGTAATGAGTTTTCTGCATGCTCCCTGCTTATTGCAAATACAAAAAAGGATGTGTTACTTTTAAGCACCTTTTCTGTCTTTAAACTTACACAAGCACATCCTAAGAAGGAGTGAGAAGCAATATAGACCAAGCTGTTGAAGTCACTGCACTGACTCTCTTCTCCATTTTCTCCTCCACAGGAAGCATCTCAACAATTGCCAACAGTGAAAGCACAAAGGAAATCCCCAACTGCACTAGTGTTTAATACTGAGAATCCACTTGGTCTACAACATTTCTGACTTTTTATTTGTAATTATTATTGTTATAATTATTATTATTATTATTATTAT